CACCTGCCAGTGTCAACAATCCGATTGCTGAAGAAAGGAAATGCTTCAATCTTTTGAAGAGAATACACCTTTTGACATTCCCCTCTAGCTGGAGCTGCCTGGAACAGCAATTGCTCCAGGTTGAATGGAGTCTGGGGTGAATTCAAGTCTTGGCAGGTAAGCCAAAGAGGAACCATTATCTTTCTAAATGTAAATGGCACCATCATTTCCAGCCTCCTTTTCGTCCTGTAAAGGAACATGGATTTATTTTTCTTGCAAAAGCCTTTCAATTCACCTTTTAAGTTGAGCACAAAGAATATGAATAGGCCTTTTCAACCACAGGTGAACGAAAAAGCCAAGATACAGTGCCTTGAGGGTTGATCTCTGTTAATAGATTTCAGGAAAACAAAGACTGTCTCCTTAAGCAGCATAGAGGGTATTGCTCACACACAGTATGTGTATATGTGTTGCATGTGTACATGTATATGCACACTGATGTGTATATGTGTGTGTATGGTGTATATATGTACATATATATGCATGTGAGCTAGATAATAAGGAAGATTTAATCCTTTTTAATATTTTTTGAAATAACAAGTAGCATTGAGTTTGTCATATACCCTGCCAACACATGGTGGGGCCCGAGCGAGGCATGTTTCACACACAAGTTCCTGCACAGGAGACACAACAGGAAGGGAGATGTTTCTAACAAAATACTTCGCTCTCACCCTCGCCTCCCACTCCTTCCATTATAAGGGTGTATCAGAGGGAAGATGCTTCAAGAGACGATGGTGTTTACCTGGCCTCCCCTCTAGAAGCACCTCATTGCCTTCCAAAATAGACTCACTCTTAAGGGGAGGGGGACCCACAAACTCTCCTGTTTCCTGTAGCACATTTGTGGAGATGTGTTTTTTTTTTAAAAGAGGGTGGGTGGCCAGAGCCAAAGGGATTTAGAATAAAAGCCTAAAAATTGGGTCAGAACCTGATTGGTGAGCATTCTCTACCCATATTTTCTCAATTAGAAAAATCAACTCCACAATAAAGTATAATTTGGGTGCTGGGTCAGTCCTTAAAGCACTTGAGGACCTGAGTTTTGATTCCCAGCTCCTATGTAAAGGGCAGGCTTGGTAACACTTGCTTGTAATCCCTGAGCACTGGGGGGTGGGGGAAGGTGGGGGAATGGGCAGAGAAAGGATGATCTCCAGAACTCACTGACTTTCAGGAGCAGTGAGAAAATAATGGATAATAATAATAATAATGAATAAAGCGGAAAGGGGTTGAGGAAGACAGTTAACATCGGCTTCTGCCCTCCGTACCCACCTGCACTTACACAGACATGGGCACAGACACATGAAATACACCCCCTCCACCAAGAAGGTAAACATGTATCCATTTTATAGAGAGGCTGTGATTCAGTGAAGTTGTGGAGCTTGCCCAAAGTCTCCTGGTTCCCAAGTGACAGAGCTGGAATAGAAATTTCCTCTGTCACCAGTAGGCCTCCAGATGTGGGCGCCCTGACTGAAAAGAAAGGTGGCGAGGACAACTAATGACAAAGCTTCTCTTGCTGCTGACAAGTGTCTGCCAGTCCCGCCAGAGGCGTTCTGCCAGATACTGGGGAAGGTTGTTTACAATTCAGGCTCCGAGTATCTCCATGCATTAACCAGCCCAGAGGAGGGAGAACTCTACAACTGGCAAGGATTGGAATGCCTGGGTGTTTCTCTGTCTTCAGACATCAAAACAGGGCTTCCAAGAGCTTAGCAGAAGGTAAATAACCCATTCTCTATAACCTGGAAATCTCAGATAAGAGGTCTAAATATCTTCTCAAGTGAATGAACTTTTAATTAGAAGAAAAGCAAATGACTAGGTTTGAACTCTTGGCCTTTCTCTGTACAATAAAGGCAGTTATGAGTTAGGAAAGAATTATGATGTGTGGAGCTGCAGCCTTTACAGCGCTGGGGTAGTTAACTGGCTGATTACTAAAAGTCTCCCATTGGTCTCAGGGTGAGCCAGCATCTTCTGGGAATGGCTTGTTTTGATTTTTTTTTAATTCTGCGAATCTGTAACACATACAGATGAAGGACTGAGTTTGAAAATCAGTCAGGGGGCTAGGAGTCTGATTAGTGACTGCCCAGGAGAGTTCCAGAATAACGAAGACTTCCAGAGAGAAAGAACACTTCAGATCTACATCTGTGTAGTTTCCCCAAGCCTGGAACTCATAGTCCAATCGCTGAATCCATCCTTGGGAGAGAATTACAAACCAATAAAAGGGAAGCGTTCAATGTGGCAGAAAAGAAAGCTAATGCTTTATGAAGAAACATAAGAGAAGCCTCTCGAAGGCTATTCTTTAGTTATTCAGTCTAGCATTTATTCTAAAATCCTCCCTTAAGTCCCTGTAGGAGATGAATGAGTTAGCAAGAGTTCTGGCCATGTGAATAGATCATGCCCCTTGCAAAGACACATACCTCATTTGTACCCTGGAAGGTGGCCCCATCTGTTACAGAGATGCTGAGAGGTCAAGGGCAATGTCTTAAGAGTTTCCAGCTCCTTGAGTAAAACCTCTCCGTCTCTACCACCAGCTCTCCCGCAGATCCTGAGCATAGCATAGAAAGCTCTAATGGGCACTTAGCTTCCTAACTACTTGAAGACTCTGTCTAGTTTCTTTCAGTGACATCATTGTTTGCTAGGGGAATCTGACAATAGGATAAAGTTGACACCTTTAGAACACAGAGCATGCGTGCCCTACTTAAAGACGACTGAGTATTATAAATAAAAATGCTCATTCCGACTTAGGATCATGGAAGGGGTTGCATAATGAGTTTGAGCTTAAACAGGTCCTTAACAAATGGCTCCTTTATACTCCAGGTGCCCTGTGATATGCTAAAAATATGTTCAGATTGGCCACACTTGCCTATGTGTCCAGGAATCCATGCATGATGGAGTAAAGAACATCTAACTCTTAGTTCCTCCCTGTGGTAGACTTTTTCACCAGGATGTCCTTTGAGCAGGGTGCCCATCAGTGCTGGCTTTTCACTGCTGGGTGACGAGTAGCTAGGGCAGAGGCTATTGACCTCGAGATGGGTCACCATAGGTAGAAAGAACATTTGGTAGCTAATCACGAAATAAAACCACCAGAAACGGGAAAGGTGAATGGATTTACGCTGTCCCACTGTGCCGGAGAATAGGTCAAATCAGTGCCATTTAGTCACAGATCCATCCACATGTGCATCAGTTGCCATGGAAATCCCTCCATGTTGGGGCTGGGAGAGCACACTCCAGCTCAGCAGCTAGTGGGGAAGACATGAGCTCCTAGGCAGCCTCGGTGCCACAGGGAGTGGAGAAGACATGTTTCCGCTCTGCAAGGCCGGAGTCTGCACCAGCAACAGAGAACAGCTTGTAGGGGATTCTAGGCTTACAATATTTATTAAATCAAGCTGCTTGAGGAGTTTAATGAGGTTTCTAATAGGATCCATCTTGTGGGGTTTCTCTCTGGGGTAACAAGCAACAGACTTAGGAGAAGGGCCAAGACTCCAAGACCTAAAAGACATCTCTGCTAACCCCTCAGTTCCCAGAGGGTAAAATAGAGCCCAGCAATCCATTAAGGCCCATCTTAAAACAGGGAGGTGCTGTATCATCTAGACATCTGAAAGACTGGCGAGCTTCTGGCCACTGTGGGTGGGCTTTGCAGTTCCTTGAACCCCTAAACTGTGTGCTTGGTTTGGAGAATACGTCTGTTTTTCTGGACAAATTGTCTATGTGTAATCAAATCCTCAGGAAGACCTTCAGTGAAAAGTGAAGTTTGAGGTCCAGGACTAGCCCTGGAAGGAACACTCTAGGGAGTGGCACACCAGTCCTACAGTCCCATGATTGGCCGCCTCTAATTGCAGCCACATGGAATGTGGCTGGTGCCATAGTCTAGCCTCAGGGAATGCTAGAAATCTTGAACAATGAATTTGTATTACTAACTTAATAACTTATTCATTTTCCCCCCAGCCAATAAATAAGGCTCCTCAAAACAGACCAGAATCACCGGAGACCTTTTTTTTGTCAGTGCTGAGAATCAAACCTCAGGCTTATATTTCATTTTCAAAATTCTAATGACTTGGGTTGGGAAGCTAGCTCAGTTGGTTAAGTGCTTGCCAAGCAAGCAGACCTGGATTCTCACATTAAAACAAACAAACAGAAACAGGGTTGTAATCCCAACACTGGGGAAGCAGCAGGGACGGATACTTACCTGGAGCTCCCTGAGCAACCAACATAACTAAACTGGCAAGTTCCAAGCAATCGGAAACCTTGACTCAGAAAACAAAGTAGACAAATCCAGGTGAACAACACTGAGTACTGACCTCTGGTTTACACACACACACACACACACACACACACACACACACACACACATCCTCTCTCTCTCTCTCTCTCTCTGCAGATGACTGAGTTTAATAACTGGACCAACAGTAAGCACAAGTATGTTTATCGCATGTCCCATTTTAAACTATAAATGTGTCTATTCATGTGTTCACACAGTATGACTTATTGGCATTCTAATTCTGGTCCCTGGTCCCTGCACTTGGCATTCACACAGCCCTGCAAGCCCCATACAAGAGGGCAGAGCCACACACATATCCTTGAAATTCCCTCTAGGAGGTTGACAGCTACTAAGAAGGCTCCAGGAAAGACATTTTTTTTCCATCTCAGAATAATGACAGCTATCACTTATCTTATGTTTACAGTTACTGGGTTCAGTACATACCATCCTAAATGCTTTCCATGTATTAATCTAGCCAGCCTTGAGCATAGAGAGCTCAACGATTTTGTCTGGATAAGAAAGGCTGAGCTAGGATGTACATGTGCGTTCCAATGGTTTGAACTACTCCACTCTGGAGCCTAGCGATCCAGCATAGGTCCCAGCAGTCTTGTATGCAAGTGCATAGTCAGGGGTGGAAGAGCCCTTCTCTGCAGTGAACTATCCATCTGAGCCAAAAAACAAACAAACAAACTCTACAATGGTCTCTTCCCTCTAACAGGCTTCATCCCCCCACCTCTCATCTTTGGGGCCGGTATCGACTCCACGTGTCTGTTCTGGAGCACCTTCTGTGGGGAACAAGGCGCCTGCGTCCTCTATGACAACGTGGTCTACAGATACCTGTACGTCAGCATCGCCATTGCGCTCAAGTCCTTCGCCTTCCTCCTCTACACCACCACGTGGCAGTGCCTGCGGAAAAACTATAAACGCTACATCAAAAACCACGAGGGCGGGCTGAGCACCAGTGAGTTCTTTGCCTCTACTCTGACCCTAGACAATCTGGGGAGGGACCCTGTGCCCGCGCACCAGACACATAGGACAAAGTTTATCTATAACCTGGAAGACCATGAGTGGTGTGAAAACATGGAATCTGTTTTATAGTGACTTCAGGAGGAGGGCTGAACTCTGTATTCGTGAACAAAGGGTCGTTTTTCTTAATAAAAAAAGAGAAAGAAAAAAGGATTTCAAAAACAGACACACACGCACACACACACATGCATACACATAAGACCTTTGTCCTTTTCTAAAAATTCAGAGCCAGGCAGGATTCAGAATAAAGAGAGGATGGGATGGCCCCGGAGGGCACGCACACTGCTGGGCTCGGAATCTGCTTGGAAGGGTACCTCATGGTTTTCACGATGCCAACAGCTGCAAGCAACAGGCACTGCCAAATTCAGGGAACACTTGTGGCCAGCTTGGAGGATGGACGTTTCTGGATATCTATACACATACAAACTTTAAAAGCATTAGAAATAAAAAAGAGTCTACTAAAAAAAAATCACAAGTTCGAGTTGAAAACATTACCAGGTTTAGCACTAGTGACACCCCCTCCTTCCATCAGGTTGGGGGGGTGGGAGCCCCACTCCTCTCTCCACCTTTCACAATGTGGGTCACTGTGTAGACCACTCACCCAGTCTGCGTGTGGTTCAAGTCCCCAGAGTTCTCTGAGAGATGCTGATGGGCGACCCGGACTGGCGTCTGTGGCTGGCATCTCTCACCAGCTCCATTTCCATGTTCAAGACTGAGGGCCCAAGGGGGAGCTTGGGGGGCATTACCTCCCCATCTCCTAGCACCTCCTCCCTACCAGCCCCACAGTGTGACCTCAGGAAGCTGTGGCCTCACCTGGCTATGACTGACCTGCTCAGAGCCGGTGAGCCCCGACATAGCCCAAGTCATTTGCTTATGTTTGCCAAACATTTTGCCATTTTTTCCCAAAAACTGCAAAATACAAGGCGTACGAATTTCCAACCATTGTATGTATAATCCTCTGATACTATTTTTAACAACTTCTTGAGTCTGTGTTAACCCTTCAGTCACTAACAAAGTTTTTACCTTTCTCCTTTTTTAATGCACCAAAAATATAAAGCGATTCAAGGGATGCAATTAATCTATTGTAATTTTTATCCTCATTCTGATACCATACAAAAGAAATACTGTGTTATAAGAAAAAAAAAGATACTCCAGAAAGAGTGTAAATGTGGCTTTAAAAGAATCACATTTGAGAAAATGGGATAATGTGACAAATTGCAAATCTGCCTTCTGGCTTTATTCCCCATGATGATGTCACTGTCATGAAAAACACTTTCATACTCATACTTTGTATTCCAATGGGCATTCCTCACTCAGATGTGGGTTTGTGTGAATGGGAGCCATGCTCCTGGGACCAGGAGAGAGGGAAGGCGTGGCTTCCTCTGCAAACACTGTAGAGTGGGCTGTGACATCTGTGATCATAAATCCTCAAGCTCCTATGTGATCACATGTCCAGTGCATGAAAATGTTAGTGGCAGGTCCCGGGTCAGTCCTGAACTCTGTGTGTTGAAGGTGACTGAACCTCGGAGCACTGGTCTGTCATTGGGATAAAGAGTCCTGTTGGGAATCTCTTGCACCAGCACTCATGAGACAGTATGGCCACTGTCATCCAGGCTGGGTCAGATGGGAACAGGCACACGCATGGCAAAGGGCCCAGTCGGCTTACCCCTCATGCCCTTTTTTGACCTTTGTCGTAGACATACCCTGGAGTAGAGCACCAAGGATGTTTGGTTTGGTTTTCCACCTTCAACATCCGTTTACAGTTCACCTGGAGCAATGAAAGAATAAGGCCAGAAGAATAAGGACAGGGGGCTGTGCCAAATTTTTAACAGACAGTGTAAATGGGGAGGTCTGTATGGTGGCCCCAAAGGAGGGGAGACATCAGGCCGGGATGACCAAGAGAATGCTGTGTGGAAGTGTGGCTGTGATCTGATGCCTCACTCGGGGTGCTTCTAAAACAGACTAGCGTTAGCCTGTCCTTGATCATGGACACAGGGTGCTTGCTCATCAACTCCATAACTAGGAAAGGGGGCGCAGTTCTCCAACTAGCTCATAGAGTGAGTTTTGTTGCTGTCGCTATGAAGACTTTGGTCACATCCTGAACAGGTTTCAGTTCACTCTTGTTTTGAAAATGAAAGGCTAACGGGTTACTGCCCTCTCTATACTGTTGTGTATCTCTCCAAACAGAGGCCCTGGGATGTATACTTTGTTTCATGAGATGATTTTCTTTTTGGAAAAAAAATAATTTTTAAGCTCTTTGTATCTTGGATTTTTTCCCCCTAAAATGTCCTCAAAGATAACAAGGAGACCCAACTCCGGGGCTCCCATTTATCAACAGTTTTTATAAATTTGAAATCTCCCTGTGGCAAAATGTTTCCCATGAATATTGTGCTATCTTTAAAATTTTCAATTTCTCTCATGTATGACAGAAGAGAAAATTCAATCTGCTTTTAATTTTCCTTTTGCATTATATAAAGAACCACTGTGCATCCAAGGCTAGATCCAGCGCCTTGGTTGTTTGGTTTTGAGTGGCATTCTGGATGAAAACTGCCCTGGTAAAGCTCTCCCTTGATATACAGAAAGCAACCCTGAGATGGACGGAGAAGCCCTAGACAATGAATGCTGGAGTTCTCTTCTGCAGTCCTCTCCTCTACCATCTTAGTTGAATGCACCCAAGGATGGCTGAGAAGTTCTCTGCTGAGACTTTTGACAGATCTATGCCTCTAACATGTAGACCAAGTAGGTTTTATGCTCTCTACCTGTGTTGCTTCCCACCTGTGGGAAACCGGCTCTTCTTCCATCTCTGAGGTGGTATGCGGTCAGGGACACCTGTGCCTCTGTTACTTCATTTTTCACCACAAGGAAGGCCCTGAAACTCTGCTACCCTAGGGATAATAACAAAGCAGCAGAATGGCCAGACTTTCCTCACAGCAGATAAAGAGCAAGAGAATCCTTCTTTTGCATCCCCCTCAAGGACCTCACTACTAGTGCTTAAGAGCTGAATAATAAAGGAAGCCAAGATCTCCTAAGGAGCCACTGGAGAGTTAACATCCTCCAAGCAGGAAGGAAGTGTGTGCTTCCCAATAACAATCATTTTCCCTTTCTCTACCTCTCAGTGGGATAGCTGCTTGCTCTGGGATAACTTTCAAGTAGGGTTGTAAGTGGTACCTTAGCCATTCAGATCCCCAGATCCAGTGGTGCCCTGGAGTTTCTTCCTCACACTGTGGAGAGGCTTGAAGGCCTGAGGCAACCCAGAGGAATGTCCTACACAAGGACACCCAGCCAACCAATCAGTAGAAGGTAGTCACCCTGCCCCAAGGGAGTGTTCTTGGTGTAAGATTCTGTTGATGTGGCTAGTCCATCCTCTCCAGTAGCTTCCAGGGCAAGCTTTTCTGTAGGAACCTGAAAGTATAAGTACACATGTGGACTCACAGACAAATGCTCCGAGGCAACACTTTTGTTGGCCAGCTACCTCTGCCTATCTGGATTTCTTGCTGCTTCTGGTCCTGGGGAGGAGTCGTTCTCTCATCAACTCCAGCTTGCCAACCATGACATGTGTCATAAGATCTGCATGACAGTTCCTAAAACATTACTCAGTAACATTGAATCATAAATATTAGTATGTAGAAATCAACTGACCATACACTCAAAACCAGATAGACAAGGATGGAATGAGCTGCCATTGTTGTTCATTGGAGTCTTACTCTAATTTTGCTGTGTGGTTGGTTTGGTTGTGATAATCAAGGAGACCCAGGTGAGCGGCTTCTCAGTCTAACAGATGGAAAGGATTTGTTTCGTGGCCTTTGCTGTTCTTGTCTGGTTTTGATGGATGGGACAGCCAGGTCTCTGGCCAGGAGTTAGGTAAAGACAGTACCAACAGTAGGGCCTAGATGGTTCCTCTGGGTTTTCTTCAACACAGTTAACCTTCACCTTAAAAGTTAAGAATCCAGGTCAAATACCTATGAGCCACCATGTTTTCCCAGAGAGGGTGATAGTGAATAAAGCCTGGTTTAGGAAATTCTTTTGGGATTCAATTGTAGTCTTTTTCCTCCTGCCTCTCTCCTCAGTCACGATATCCAGACTCACCCAATTCACACCAAGCTCTTCCTCTCTGAATAAAATCCCAATTTCATAGGACAACTGACTCAACGTGACAGGCTGTGGGTCCCATCTCCTCCAGAGTATTACTGTCACTCAAAAGCCAGTTAGAAGACTTTCTCGCTGGCAGTCCGAAGCTGTTGTTCATAGGCCTTTGTTAGGGATTACTTCTTTGTGTGACCCCTTGAACCCCTTTCTCTATATTGTCTCCCTTGGTCTTCACACCTGTAAGGAACCTCAGCTACTTGTGAGCCATGGCAGGATCAACATGACCTGGGAAATTCAGACAAGCAAAGATGTTCCCATACCTCAGGAGTGTTCGCCTGCCTCAGACAGGAAGACTAGAGCTCACACTTCTTGGAGACTGTCTATGCTAACATAACTTTTCATTTCAGGGTTTATTTTCCTCAAGGATGTGGTATTTCAACATGGTTGTGTTCATTCTTTTATCTAAAATGTTGGGCTGTGTGCTATCCTATAGACCAAGCACATGGCCCTTCTCTTCCAAGAGCTTACCATTCAGTGAGCTGGAGAGACTTTAGCATGAACAAAGTCAACAAAAGAGCATTCCAAGCCAAATTCTGTCTGGATGTGAGAGATGACTCAGAGTCTATTCATGCTAATAGCAAGCCTTGATTGATAACTGCAATAATCAAAAGAGAGAGAAAAAGAAAGGGGGACTCTGGAGACTAAATAACAGTGGATATCTCCCAGATGGCTACTAAAAAAAAAAAAAAAAGGAAAAAGTCACCCCTATCATCACACACAGAAGGGCCACCAAAGCAAGGGCAACCCAATACTCTTATTCAGAACTATCTAATAAAATTACTTCAGGGCTTGTAGATCACCAAACTGTAAAAACAGCTTATCACGCTGTTGTCACCCAATATCAACTCAAAGCAATAAGTGAACAAATGCCTGGGCTGTGTACCCATAAAGCTTTATTTACAAAGACAGTGACTGAAAGGAAGGGTATGGTGGGTCAAGGCAGCACTAAGTGTCGTGGAGACACCAACAGTTCAGCATAGGTAGGGCATGTCTGGCACTTAAATCTTGGCCATAGGATTGGCCCAGTCATTTCTCCAAAGGGTCCTGGAGTAGGTGTCCATCAACCCTAATGTCCCTGACCACAGCAATCTTAATTCAAGCATCTCACTTGTTTCCAAGAAGGGAGAAAGTGCCCTTTTGTTGTCAAACTTTGGGGTTTAAAGCAACCTTATTTTTCTCTTAGGTAGAATAGAGAATTGGAACTACAGAGCCTATCATCCCTTCCAGCCCTACACTTGGCATTGCAACTAGACTGATCAAACTTTTCTCCCCTTAAATGATGGATACAGACACGTGAGGGAGAAATATAGGAAACAGGAAAAGAGGAGAGATCCAGATACTGAATAGAACTTCAAGCCCTTTCCCACTTCAGCACCAACATTAAACATTGACCCTCTAGAGCTAATCACTCTGTCAGGTAGAATAATTGGTAAGCACTAGTAATAGCTAATAATAACAGTCACTAACATTTATCAGGTACTTACTCTGAACTAGCTGATCAGCTCTGGCTGAGCTGATTACAAGCATTAACACATTTAATCTTCACACTAACCCTGTGAGGTAGGGACTATTGCTATCTTTATTTTACAGGGGAGGGAAATATGAGACTTCCTGGAAGCATTCAGAATTGACCCAAGGTCATGAGAAGAGTTAAGGTTCAAACCCAAGCCTATGAGTCGAAAGTGCCTGTTGGTAGCCATGGTAAATGTTCCCTCCCTACCAAGCAAGATATGGGGAGCCTTCCCTGCCTCCAGGAAATGCCTAGTCACAAAGTCTATAGCACAAATAAACTAGGGGCCTCATACTCTCATATGCACCCTGGTTTAATCAGCAGGACACAAAGGTACCTGTATTCTGAATGGAGTGTCTGCTCTTCCTCTTTCAGCTGTCTGTGTGCTTTGTTCCTCATGTCAATGGTCCATTTATATAAGG